CCCACGACAGTCCCCTTCTAAGCCCACCTATGCCTGCTTGTCTCTAGGGTCCGAAGATGTTCTGGGACATGGCGGTCATCCTGAAAGCAGCGCAGGACGTGCCTGCTGCCTCAGTCCTTGGCAGCTGCTCGGCACCAGCGACTGTGGCCAAGAGCGAGATACTGGAGACTCATGGGAACATGACCTCTCTAGGTAAGGTTCAACCCCCTGATTCAGAATTGGACCACTGGGATTTCTCAAAGTCTTTTCAGAGACTGGTGTTCTGGTCTCCTAGCTTGAGCAACAGAGAATATTGAGGTGTTTTAAGTGTCAGGGAGAGCCGGATAGAGGAATGCTGAAAGATGCATGTGTGTTTCTCTGGGAAATGGCTCATTTTGTACACAGTCTCAAACACAGATGCACTCCAAGTTCACCTTTTAATTACATTTACTGTTCAGCAGGTTTCATATCTATTTACACATGTAGATACATGCCCTTGTTATATACTTTGTGTTTATCGTAGATTGCTGAGCCTGCAAGAGACGCTCGCTAAGGTAGGAAGGCTCCACTTTTGTGGTGATTTTGAGAAAATGCCCTGGAGATGCTCTGTTTTCATAGGTCTTTGTGCAAAATTGAGAAGGTTTTGAGAAGTGGTGTCAGCTGTGATGATGTTCAAAGCTGGGTCTTCATGGAGGGTACTAGTGGCTTGTCACCTGGGACTCAGGAAAGGGAAGTATGTTCTATATGTCTGACTAGCAGTGGCGGAAGCTTGCCTTTGGAGTGATGTGTAACTGGGGGTCAAGACTGGTAGCCATGAGTCCTGTGCTATGGCAGCCATCCCTGGATCACTGCCGAGGCTCCTTTTGCACTCATGTTGTGAGTCTAACCTGGTATAGGGCTGAGCCTGAATATTTTGAACCCACTCTTTTCCCTAGCCAATTCCTCAGGCATTTGTGGCCCAAGTCACTTTCTTAAACCAGTGTGGTGGGGAAGCTTAGGGTCTCTATTGTTTATTTTCTTGTCTCTTTTATACTTACTCCCCAGACTGTCCACAGCTTCTGTTCCCCACTTTCTGCTTTCTGTTCTGGTCTCTCTGGTGCATTCCTGTGTATCACTTCTTTTCTGTTTCCTTGCTTATCAGTCATTCATTGTCTTAACTCCAACAACTGCACCCATCTATCAGGAATGTCCTGTTTCCCTTCTCTGCCTCCCGGCCAAGACTTACTTTGTGCGCTGCTGGCCATGTCCACAGCAGCAGGTAATAGTGGGAACAGCGAGCGCTAAGAATTAAGAGAGACCTGAGCATAGCTGCTGCGCTGCCTCTGATAATTCTGTGACCTTGAGGAAACCCGTTCTCTCTCTCAACCTCCATTTCCTGTTCTGTAAACGGGGGTGCAGTCATTCAATAAATCCAGGATTTCTTGGGGGTCGGCTTCCTGTATGCTAGGCAGCTTGCTCAGTGCTGGGGAGACAGCACTGAGTAAGACATAACTTGTACTTTTTTAGCTTCCACACCAGTGAAGGAGAGCAGTTTCGTTTTGATGATAAAATCATACACATGAAAGTGCTTTGGAAATTTTGACGTGTTACTGCGTTTTTAAAGTCTGAGAGAGTTTATCTGCAATTTCCTATATATTAATTAATGTTGAATTTGTTGAAGTTTATACATTTAAAACCAAGTTTTTACGCCTTTAAGCATAACTTATTTTTATTTCATTTATACATCTAGAAATAGTTATGTAAAAATGAGAACACTTGTACTTTTACTTTAATTCATGTTTAGGTAAGCTTCAAGTTTTACAGATTAAATTTTTAAAACTTTTTTAAACATTTAATTCCACCTATATGCCAATTTCCTTAAATAAAAAATATAAAACTACATTAAATTGCAAATTTAATATATCTCTAGTTCTTTAAAACATTTCAAACACCTAAGTAGGCAGACTTACAATATCTTATAAATAAAATCTTGATAAACACACAGCTTTTGTAAATCTAGTGAGTTGGACTTACCAATTTACTAAATCAGGTTACCCTTCGTATCTCAGAATACAGTTACCAGCTAAGGTGGCAGACTCATATAGCGTTTCAGAACTCTTTTTTTAAATGAAAGAAAGTTTCTTTTGATTTTTCTTTTAAAATCAAAAGTATTGATTTCAGAACTTACTACTGTGTCTATGCTCTAGTTGATCACAAATGAGTTTTTGTTTATTTCTGTACTTTCCTTAAGTTACAGTAATCCTACAAGATCCAAAAAAGGAAAAAGACCATCGCAAAGAAGCCAAGGTTAACAGGTCCCAGGTTACTGCTAATTAATCGTTCAAGTAGGTTTGAGTTTGTGCATACAGAATTGGCCTCAATTCCCTTGGTCACTTGCCAAGACTCTAACTCTTATTTCATCCCTGTGATTAAACTGTTAAATAGCCACTTGTGTTAAGACCTTTTAGGCTACAGTTGTACCTGGTTCTGTAATAATTTTAACAGAAAGCATTATGCAAACATGAGGAATTGTTTCTGTTATTGGGATCTAATTGGTTCAGTAATACCCATTGGTCTTTATCTTTCATGTCTTTCTAATATTCTAACCCTGACAGTAAGAAAGGTGGGAGTGAGGTTGGGAGGGAGGGAGGCTATGAGCTAAAGTATTTCTGGGCTTTTTCTGTTGGAGAGATGCTTGGTGGGGGGTGGGGATCCCCAGTGTTAGTGGTGGGAAGCTAAAAGAAAGAAGGAGGAGGTGGAAAAAAGAGGAGATGTTAGAAGGGAGAAGGGTAAGGTGAGATGTAGGTGATAAAGAATAGCAGGGAACATAAATGAAAAGAATGTAATGAACAAAAGAAAAGCAGAAGAAGGGCAGGCCGAGTGGCGTGTTGGTTAGGAGTTGGCTTGGGACACCATCTCTGAGCAGCAGGGCCCCGGTTCAGATTCCACATGAGGGCCAGTGACGCTGCGCCCTCTACAGCTAAGATGGTGAACAACAGCTCAACCTTGAGCTAGGCTGCCGTGAGTCGCTGGCGATGGTGTAGGCTGCAGCCCCTGCTGAGTGGGCTGTCATGAGCTACCGTGAGTGGCTGGCAGCCAGTGTGAGCTGCTGTGAGCCACTGTCCAATGGTCGGCGAGCGACTGCCTCACCCAGGAAAAGTGCAATGATAATACCAACATGGGCCAGTGAAGTGATGTCCTCCACAACTAGACTGAAGAACAAAAGAACAGCAACTTGTCTGTTCCCCTTTCCCGATTCCCCCAACGCTGTTTCCCTCCCCCAATTCCCCAATAAAATCTTTTTTTAAAAAAGAAAAGCAGAAGAGACATGAAATTATACAAAGAAAAAATCAGAGTATTTCACACTTAAAAAAATTTTTTTTAAATAAACACTGGGAGAGGCAAGTTGGTTTTTAAAAAATTTTATTGGGGAACAGCCATGGTCATTGGTTACACATTGCTTTCACGCTACAATGGCATAGTTGACTCTTTTAGGGAGGGCGCAGCTCACAGTGGCCCATGTGGGGATCGAACCAGCAACCTTGGTGTTATCAGTACCACACTCTAACCAACTGAGCTAACCGGTCACCCCAAGACTAGTCAGTTTTAAAACTTCAAGAGGTTCTGGTGTTCTCATATTTTTTGGCATTATGGAGCAGGCTACACCATGTCTCACACTTAACTCAAAAAGGTCAGCGTTCCCTGACACAAGGCTAGGCTGTTTCCTCGACACAAGAGGTAAGGTGCTCACTCTGTTCACGTTCGTCTTTAGTCCCCTTTAGTGTTGCCCTCTATCACCATAGCCACTCGCATCCCCAAAGTTCATCCCTGGCTTCTGGCACTGTGCCCCACAGCCCACTGGTCAGGCTGAAAGTCACTGCGTACACTCCCAGATCCACTTCCTGTGCTCCATGGCTGCTCTCAGCAATGGATATAGAGAAACTCAGTTAATCATCTCATGGTCTTAGGAGGTAGATATTGTTATCGTCCCTGTTTTAGAGGTAAGGAAACTGAGGCACAGAGATGTTAAGTTACTAGCCCAGACTCATGCAGCTGGTAAGTGGCAGAGCACGTATTTGAAACCAGGCCGACTGGCTCCAGAATTCATATTCTTAGCTTCTCTGCTACATCGCCTCTCGATGTTTCGGATGCTTTTAGCCGCTGTGGTCCTTTCTGTCCATGCTTAGCCTCCCTTTGCTATCCAGCATCTTCATGCACAAAAGCCTGAGTTGCCTAGATCTTCGTTTACAGGTAGGGAATCTCCTTAATTAGCTGATGAGTTGTAAGTCAACTCACCCTAAGTGTCTGTGGTAAGCGGCAAGTCTGGGGAGGGACTGGTGTCCTCCATAACCGGCCTTAATTGTGACGTCAGTCATCACACAGTCAGGAGGAGGCCTGTCTGGAGACTCCTTCCCTGGCGTGAGCAGGTGGGTTAAGTGTCTAATGGAGTTAAGTGGAATGGAGGTGCTAGAAAGACCCTGAGTCAGTGGACCCTGCTCTAGGCGTGGGGAAGTCACAGACAGGCAGAAGGACCCACAGAGGCAAGGTGACATGGGAGGGGAATCTTTCCTCTGATGGAGCCATTTTACAGACACTGAAGTCACTTACTTTTGGAACTTCATGATCCTGTTCATTTTCTAGGTCAGAAGACGCTAACAGTTGTATTTTCTGTTTGTCGTCTCAGCTGCCGAAACCAAGAACCCACAGCTGTTGGTTCCCAAAACTGAGATATGTGATGAAGCAGAACAACCTTTCATGATACCTGGCAGAACCCAGAAAATTGGCCCTCAAGGACCTGAGTTAGGAGAAGCCTGTGAAAAGGGGACCCTGTTAAAGAGGCAGAGAATTAAGAGGGAAAAGAAAGACTTCAGACAAGTGACAGTGAAGGATTGTCACGTTCCTGAAAGCTTCAAAGAAGAGGAAGACCAGAAATATCCGACATCTAGGGAAAGAGACAGCCTTAGTTCTGGCCCTGTCAAGAACCCGAAAAGCCAGCCTGGGCAGAAGCCTTTTACATGCAGCGTGTGCGGGAAAGGCTTTAGTCAGAGCGCAAACCTCGTGGTGCATCAGCGGATCCACACCGGGGAGAAGCCCTTCGAGTGCCGTGAGTGTGGGAAGGCCTTCATTCAGAGCGCAAACCTCGTGGTGCATCAGCGGATCCACACTGGCCAGAAGCCCTATGTTTGTTCAAAATGTGGGAAAGCCTTCACTCAGAGTTCAAATCTGACCGTCCATCAAAAAATCCACTCCTTAGAGAAAACCTTTAAGTGCAGTGAATGTGAGAAAGCCTTCAGTTACAGCTCACAGCTTGCCCGGCACCAGAAAGTGCACATCACAGAGAAATGCTACGAATGTAACGAGTGTGGGAAGACCTTTACCCGGAGCTCAAACCTCATTGTGCACCAGCGGATCCACACCGGGGAGAAGCCGTTCGCCTGTAACGACTGTGGCAAAGCCTTCACCCAGAGCGCAAACCTGATTGTGCATCAGCGAAGCCATACTGGTGAGAAGCCATATGAGTGTAAAGAGTGTGGGAAGGCCTTCAGCTGTTTTTCACACCTCATCGTGCACCAGAGAATTCACACTGCCGAGAAGCCGTACGACTGCAGCGAGTGTGGGAAAGCCTTCAGCCAGCTCTCCTGCCTTATTGTGCACCAGAGGATTCACAGCGGGGATCTCCCTTACGTGTGTAATGAGTGTGGGAAGGCCTTCACCTGCAGCTCGTACCTGCTCATTCATCAGCGAATCCATAATGGGGAGAAACCTTACACATGCAGTGAGTGTGGCAAGGCCTTCAGGCAGAGGTCGAGCCTCACGGTGCACCAGAGAACTCACACTGGGGAGAAGCCCTACGAGTGTGAGCGGTGTGGGGCTGCTTTCATTTCTAACTCGCACCTCATGCGCCACCACCGGACCCACCTTGTTGAGTGACACGCCGAGGAAGAGGAAGGCCTCCAGGCGTTGGCCGTGCCTGCTGCCCCTCTAATGTAGACCTCTTTGCTTCCTCCTTTGTAAGAGTGAGGCCTCCTATGTCCTTAAAAATAACGGTTTTCAGGAGTGCAGCACAAAACACAAGCGTTTCAGAGGCTAATTTAAAGAAAATGAAAACTAAGCACCTAAAAGCAAGGACTTTGTTTTTAGCTCGACCCTAAGTGGTCACGCTGTCTGATATAGAATGTGGCTTTCTTAGAAATGGGTCATACAAAGCTAAGTGATAAAGGTCCCATTTGGGGAAAGGTATTTTTAAACTAAATTTTGTTTTTTAAAAAGTAATTTCTTGAGCAGCAGGCAGGTTACTGGTATAGTTCTGCCTGATGAAATTCGGGAGCTTTGAACCCTGTGTCCTAGTATTTTGGGGTAAGCAGTGACTAGTAAAGGAAACCACTCGAGGTAGCAATTCCCCAGCAACTCACCTATGAACAGTTATAAGCTTTCCATTACATAGCTCATTTAAAAAGTATTTTGTTAAACCTGTCAACCATTTACTGCTCCTAAAATGGACAGAAGTAGGAAACAACTGTCTCCTTTATTGTCTATACCTCATGAACCTTGGTATGGGACAGCCCTGGGAACCTCTGACGAGCCCCTTGCGACCATTCCCCAGTCTACATGGCCAGGCACTTGAGGACTAATGGAGACCACACCCTCGGGCCGCAAATGCTGCTGGGCTGTGTTCATTTGCTGAGATCACCAACGTAAGCCCCAGTTCCCACTGCATTCCATTTGCGTGAGGTGCCCCTAACAGCCCCCTTCCCAGATAGAGGAGTCAAAGAATACAGCTTGCCTACAGGCCTGCCCACGTTCTCTTGGCTTTCATTCTGCCTGGGCCCAGCCAGTGGGCTCATTTAGGTGTCATTCTCACTTTCTGGAAGGTCTTTAGAAGACAGAATGGAGCCCTTCTCATTCTGAGAGGACCAAAGAGGGAAAGGAAGGGAGAGGGAAGAGGCAGAGTGGGATTCCTAAGGTCTTAATTTGTTCTTTTGAGAAATTCAAAGGTGTTGGAATATGAAAACTTTTAGAAGGATGAAGAAACTGGCTAAGGTAAGATACGTTTGTTACCATTGAGCCTTTACTCCTGGAAAATTATTTATAAAACTATGCAATAGGTAGAGCTATGTAATAATATTGCCTTGTATTTATAGAGAACTTTATTCTTTGTGTACCTGCCTGTATGGAATCATGACACCCAGTACTTAACTCATACTTCCACATAGATCGTTACCTGAATCTTTATAACATCGAAAGAGGTGTTTGCCGCATTTACCTGAGAGGGGTCATTTAAAGCAAGGCCGTGTAACAAGCGACAGCCTGTATTTAAATCCAAGACCTAAATCCAGATTCTCTTCTTTCTGCCATGCTGCTTGTCTAACCACCTGTAATCCCCACCCAGATCTGTGGAGAGCCTGACATGGGGTATGTGCTCTCATTTTCAGGTATGGAAGCTGAGATGACAGATTTTGGGGTGTGCCTTAGGCAGTGTGACCAGCAAGCAGCAAATCTGAGACTGGAATTTAAGTCTGATTTCTGGGTCTGTCCACCACCACCCCCTCAGCACGCAAGAGCTTTTATCATAAATGCCATATGTGGTGAAGCGCAGTTTGGTGCGACTCATGCAGAAGTCCCATGCTTTATCGTCTCATGTCTACAAGATTAAATATTAATCAGCATAGTGTTTTGTAGTTTACAGAGCGCTTTCACATGCAGAAGGCATACACAAGAAAGCTTACTAATTCCCTCTTTTTTCCCTTCAACTGTAGTCTTTCATCAAAGCATGTGCAACTTCTTTTTGCAGTTTCACTCTAAATCGTAAGGACACAAACACAAGAAATCAATTGGATTCAAAAGTAAGAATCAAAAATGCTCTGCCCTCACTCACCCAACAGTGACTCTTCCTGTCCCCCCGTCTGGGGGTGGAGAGACCCAGAGATAACACCGCGTCTCTGCTGAGAGTAGGAACAAGTTAGGGGTTTCCTCCTGCATGATCAGGAAGCTCAAGAGAGCGGGAGAGCAGGTCTGAAGATTTGGGAAAAATCTGTGACCTTGACCACGAGGCCAGCTGTGTATGTTTCTGAAAGCTACCGGCTGAGATTTATGAGCATTAAGACAGTTAAACTGTTTTAGCTTCACGTCGTATATTCATCCTCAGGGTTGAATATTCAGTCACGGATGGTTGTAATTTCCTGGCTAAAGACTCATTCATAGGTAGTTCAGAAAAACTACCCCGGTGATTGTGATGGAAAGCTAGGCTGGGAATCAGTGACCTAACCTTGCAGGAAAGCTGTGGTTTTCAACCTTGGCTGCATGTCAGAATCACCTAGGGCTGTTTAAAAGTTTTTTTTATTCCCCAGGCCTCAGTATTTTTAAAACTCTGGAGGGGATCCGATGTGCAACCAAGGTAATGAGCCCCTGCAGTGAAATAAAGCCTGTGAAGCAAGAATATGTGTGACCAGAGGGGGAGGGCGAGTATAAGGGTCTTCATATGCAGTGTTCTCTGTGGTCCCAGCAAAACAGGACGCTCTCTATGGTGGCTGCTCTGGGGGGTCCTGTGCCTCTGCCAAGCCTTGGCTGTTAAGATTCTGTGACCTAACTTATTTTATTTGTATTTTAAGTGACTGTATCAAATATTTATATGAGCAAACCGTTTTACATAGCCTGCATTTATGTTCCTCATTCAGCAAAGTGACTTTGCATTTCTGCTTGTGTTTCATCTCCAGATCTGGGATTCCACAAACCTGCACCCAGGGACAGGACCCCGGTCCTGCACAAAGCATGTGAGCCTAGTGGATTCCTAGATCCAATCCTTACCCAACTAATGACTTTCCCTCCCAGTCCAATTCCAGCCCTCACAATGAATTACCACCCACAAGTGACTACCCCTTGTTGTGAGAGTTGGCTTTGGTTCTCCTTTTCCTTGGGGTCATCTCACTTTTCCTTTGGCTGGTCTTGCTAGAAGTGGATGGGAACTTTGAGGCCCATTTTCATAAGTTGCCAAGAGCTGTCAGACAGGCCAGGCCTGGTGATGGGCAATAAGGGTAGAGCCACGAAGCCTGTCCTCACCCTCAGGTGAGACCAGCAGATGTTTATTAAGTGGAGCTCAGTGATGCGAAAGTGATAATGAAGTCATGTGTGTGCTTTGGGAGCAGCGGCAGAACACACACACACCCCGTTCTCAAACACAATTGCCATGAATCCTCCAGGCTCAGGAAGAGGTGTCTTTGGGCAAAGCTCATATTCCCTCTGTCTTCTGGCCCTCTCTTCTTGCTTAGGCGGTTGTCCTCGTCCCACATCTGTCACTTCTTCACTTGCTTCTCCATCCATGTGCCTAACTTTTCTGGGGTCCCAGCCCCTTTGAGAATCTGATGGAGGCTGTGGAGCCTCTCCTGGAGAAACGCAGATTGCATATTCAGTTTCGTGCTCATTTGTAGGGACATACACCTCCCTGAGGCCAACCCATGGATCGTCTAGGGCCTAAAGTCTCACCTGGAGATGCGCTATTCATCACCAGTGACATTTAAAAAAACGAGGTGAGACTACGAGTCTAAGATGTTGCCCAGACACATACCTTTTTCAACCTTGCTTCTGCTGCTTCCCCTCCCTCAGCAAATTGTGGCATCTGGCACCCAGACTGGAAACCCAGGAGGTAGTCCTGGCCTCTTATACGTTCATTATGAAAATATTTATTAGGCACTGTCTTCGTGGCATGCATGGTGCTAGATCCTGGGTGCGAGCAAACAAGCTCTGCCAACCCTCTTCTAATGGCTTGTATGGGAAATGTCTGGATCCCTTAACATCATTTACTAAGCTTGTCATAGTCGTTGCAACCTCCTCTTCACTTCCTCTGCACCTTTGGCTGCAGCCTCAAGGCACCTGCTTGCTCTTCCGTGTGCCTTCACCCCCCCACACCCCCGTCTTAGGGGCCTGTAGTCACTCCCCACCCAGCCCCGCCTACTTAGCCTAACCTTAGGTTTCTTGTAAGATTTGGTTCAAGCCCCATCCCTGGGAAACCTCTGACTGCCCTGTGGCCGACAGCATATTTAGAAGTATATTTAGAAGCCTAGAAGAGCACGACATGTGTATCCAGTTTTACTTTATGCTGTAAAGTGAAAAAAATCTGGATTCAAAATTGTGTATATAGTACAGTTATCATGTTGTTGTTACATATACTATATACTATTAAAAAGTATCTAGATAAATCACCTGAAGGAAATATAAGGAAGTGGTTAAGTGACTTGTTCACTAGATGGTAAATTGCAGAGCTTAGGCTCAAATCCAGGTCCTATGGATAATAGAATTATGGGTGGTTAAAAGAGTTTTGGTGTTTTTTTTTTTAGTAATTATCATATTTCCTATAAGGAGCAAAAATTTTATAATCAGGAAAAAAATAAATTATTTATTATATTGACATACTTAGTTTTTATTGTATTAACTATAAACAGTATCCCAGTTCTTCCTTTTGTAAGATGTAGGGTGCACCCTGCCCTTTCTCCTTCCTTTTTCCACATCTCTGCCTCTGACAATGTCAAGTCTGATCATTCTTGAATTCTGTTCTGTAACCATAGTTGGTCTTTTATGCCTTGTTTATTGATTAGTTCTAAAAGTTGAAAATAAACAGCGTGACTATCGTTATGACCGAGTAAATGTTGTTCACTGCAGATCTGAGCAGCTTATTGTGATTATGTTTCCTTTTTGAAACAGCGTTTTGTGTTTAGTGGAGGTTCTAGTTGCCTTTCTTTGCCCCTTGTACTGGTTGCTTTGATCACATCCTCAGTTATTTTCAAGTTCTCCGTCCAATTACTCTTGAACCCTAATTTTCCCTCTGTATTTCCCTTCCTGAGACCTCCAGCCTCCTGCGCTAGTCTGTCCTTGGTCAACTTCCTGCCTACTGTTCTGTAGTTGCACTGCGCTCTGTTGGGTCCTGAATTCCCCATCTTCCTCTTTCTTCATTTACTCCGTCATTTTACTAGAGCACATCTTCAAGTCACTTGTGGAAGGCAAAATTGTTGAGTGCTTATATATAAAAAACTCGGCCGGCACACTGGATTGGTAGTTTGACTGGCTCTGGAATTCTAGATTGAAAAATTTTCCTAGAAGTTTGTGATGTCTGACTCCAGTTGGATTCTTATTGTTTTGACAATCAATAAATAGAATTTTCATTACTGTGATCTGCTTCCCCGCCCCCATGGCCAGAAGCTTTTAAAGTCTCCTCTTTATCCCTAACATACTCAATTCCCTAATGCACTCAGTGGGTTTTCTCAATTTAGTGACTCAGGTACTTGTACTCTTGGACATTTTGCTGTGTTATTTATGTGACAATTCTCCCTTTCCATATATATATATATATTTTTTTCTGTTTGCTTTCTGGAATTCCTGTCAATCAAATGTTGGACCTTCTAAATTGATCCCCAACTACTTTCTCTTTTGCATTTCCTTGTCTTGTGCCATTATCTGGGAGAGTATCTTGATTATTTTTCAACCTTTCTGGTGATTTTTTTTTGGGGGGGGTGGTAATTAATTTCTAAGAGCCTTGTTTCCTGTTCCTTTTTTGTAGCATACTATTCTCATTTTAGAGATGCCTCTTAAATCAGAGTATCTAATTAAAAGAGTTTTCTTAAAAGTCTCTCCTGTCACCTAAATTATATCACCCCCTCCACGTCCCTTCCCGATTCCTTCTTCCCCTCTGTTTACTCTCATTGGAGATTCTCTCAGATACGTTGTGATTCATACATACCTAGATCTGTGTGTATGTATTGAAAGCCCAAATTAGACCTCTGTAGGAGTGGGATTTGCCTAGTAAAAGGCTTCCCTCTAAAATGATTCGTAGAGAGCAAGCTGTTTTTCTGGAAACCTCTAAATGCCCGAACTCAGAGACCCTTTGTCTGGTGCTCTGCTATTTCTTTAGCAAAAAATCCTCTGATGTTTTTATCTGGGGATTGGATGCTATAAATGCTTTTCTAGGAGTGGGAGAGAAGGGAGTCATGGGTTAGCACAGACGTCCGGTTAATGCCCTTGGTTTGAGGCCCACTTCTCCTCGCACCCTTCATTGTACCTGGGTTTCCCAGTGCCAAGTCGCTCTGAGGATTGGCAGGGCAGCCCAGCTACCGCCTTCCATTGTGTTGCCCTCAGCAAGTGTTCCAAGCTGTTATTCCCTGCAGCCAACTTCCTCAGTTATCACCTCATCCGCTTTCCATCTTCTAGGAATTTGTGCCCCTTATCCTGTCATTATTTATACATTTTAAACCATATCAACCCATTATCATTTTAGGGGAAGCTCAACCATTTTAAAAAGAATTTTAATATGCTTTAATACAATGATACCACTTTTAGAAAGCTATCCTAAACATGAGTATTTTGACAATGATTTATGTACTTGTCAATGTTATTTTACATTGGAAATAACCCAAGTGATGAGCAATAGGGGAATGATTGAATTACGACATGGTGGAGTATTATGTAATCACTAAAAATCATATTGTAAAGAATATTTAGTGAGATGATAAATGTTCAAAATAGTAAATGAAAAATGCAAAACTACAAAATTAAATGGTGGGCACAGACAGCCCAGTTTTCTTAAATGTACGTGCGTAGAAAAGACCGGAAGGAAATAACAAGTACAACTGGTATTATGTGGTTAGAGTTTTCTGCATTGCCTACATTTTCTGCGATGAGCCTGGATCTCTTATGGTCAGGAGGAGGAAAGTGAATAAAAGAGAAAGATTGTGGCTTGTGCAGAGTGGTGAGACGTTTCTGGGGAGTGTGGAATGGGTGTGGGGAGCAGTAGAATAAGGGGCTAGAGAAATATTGTCCAGTTACCAAGGACCTGATGCCAGGCGAAGGAGTTCGGCCACAGAATATATGTAACCCATGTTTGTGACACGTAGTCGTGGCTGAAGTGTGGAGGCTAGGTGGGTGAGGGGGGAAAGGAATCCTGGAGACCTCACAGACAGCTTTTGTCAGAGTACAAGAGAGACCATGGAATTCTGATGGGGCCAGAGAAGGGACGCATGGAATGAGCAGGTGTTAGGGGCAAGCAGCAAATTCCCAAGCTAGAAATCCAAGCCTCCACACTCTGGTGAGACATGACCTGTGACAAGTGGGGCCTGGCCCAGGCCTGAGGGGCCCTGGTTTCCTTGGGCCTCTCTGGGACCACTGTGTGCTCTCTCTCAGTGACACACCTCTGTGGTGTTGGGAAGAGGGTGGGGGAGGCAGCCCAAGCCCTAGCTAGCCAATTGGAAGCTTGTAACCACCCCATTAGTTGAGGGGTTCCCGTGTGCTAGGCACTGCACTAAATGCCAAATGTTTGGGGTTTTTTTAACTTAATTGGGGAACAGTGTTTTTTCTAGGACTCATCAGCTCAAGTCAAGTCGTTTTCAATCTAGTTGTGGAGGGTGCATCTCAGTGGCCCATGTGGGAATCGAATCGGCAACCTTGGTGTTCTGAGCACCGTACTCGAACCACCTGAGCCAGCCGGCCGCCACCAAATGTTCTTTATCTTATTTAACCCTCACCTCAGGAGGGAAGTTCTCTTATCCCATTTTCAAAGCCAGTAAAAACTGGATTAGAATAACCCAGGCCAAAGCCTGTGCCCCTTCTCCCAAGCTACTTCCTCAGTGTGCCTTTAGGCACCCCTCTCAGCTAACAGTTGGGATACAAAAGCAAACAGTGAAGAGTATACTAGTCTCCTTCCTGGGCCAGAGCACCCCAGGTAGGAGTACCGCAGCAAGAACCATGGTAAAATTATTGACGATTCTTCCAGAGATAGCCCACACATTTATAATCTTGTGTATCCCCCCCCTCCCCCAGGAGTTTAGGACACACATTGTCTACACCTTGCTTTTTCTCTTGTATCTTGGAGATGGTTCTATTTTAGCCTATAAGATCTACCTCATGTTTTTTTCACTGCTGTGTGATGGTCCATTGTGTGGGATGTCCCATGATTCATGTAGTGAGTGCCCTCTTGCTGGGCGTGTAGGTTCTTTTCTATCTTATGTCAATACAAACAAGGCCATACTGCATATCCCGGCACACTCTCCTCTCTATGTGTGCAACTTTGCAGGATAAATTGATAAATCAAAGGGTAAGTGTATTTGATATTCTGATAGAAATTGCAAATGTGGTTCCCAGTGTGTGTATGAAAATAATTTCTCTGAATCCTCTATAAAAGTATAGTTTTCTGATCTGATAAATGAAAAATGCTCTCATGTTTTGCATTCAGTTATGAGTGAAACTGGCTATCGTGTCTCGTGTTTAAAAGCCATGTGTATTTCTTTTGTGTGTGTGTGTGTGTGTGTGTGTGTGTGTGTATGTGTGAATTGCTTGTTCATGTTTAACAGTTTTTCTGTTGGGTTGTTGATCCTTTTAAGAATTGATTTGTACAAACTGTAGTAAAGAAAATACTATCAGCCATATGTGTTGCAAATATTTTCCCCAGTTTACAGTTTGCCCTTTTAATTTTTGCTGTTTGGATATTTATTACACAAATCAAAGACTTCCTCTGTTTAAGACTATTCATTCTGCCATGATTTCGTCTCGTCCTTTGAGATAAGTCCATTTGAAATTCATTTTGGAGTAAAGTAAAGACCCAGTTGGGTCTTGGCCCCACCTCCCGCCCCTTCTCCTCCGGGGTGCAGCAGGAGGAATTGAGTGAGAGGACCACCAAGATAAAGATAACCTCCCGGCTTCCTAGAGCTGCCCGGCGAGAACCTGCAGCCGGGTTTTTCACCTGGGCGGGCTCTCTGAGCCGCACACAGGCGCTGTAGGTGGCGGTGCTTCCTCCTCATGTTGGGTGAGCTAGGGCCCAGGTTGGGTTAGGGCCCGAGTGGGCATCGCAGGGGATGAGGCAGCTAGTTGAGGAAGCGGGAGAGCCGGAGCGGGAAGGTGTGCTGGGAAAGGAGGAAAAGGAGAGGGCTGCAGTCGGGCGATGGATAGGGAGGACGATGCTGCAGCCCAGCCAGCACTGGGAGAGGACGTGCTGGGAGGCAAAGCGAAGGAGAGGCTGCAGCCGAAGGCCAGTGAGGGGAAGGAGGAGGCTGCAACAAGGGTGGGGAGTGTCGGGAGTGAGGCCAGGGCCCGCAGGGGGAGAATCACCAATGGGGACGGGGAAGAGCGGAGACGAGGAGGAGGGGGTAGTGGGCAGGGAGAGAGGTAAGACGGGATGTGTGTGTTTGGGGTGGGGGTTGAAAAGGAGAGCTCAGACCTGGGCAAGGGCAGCTTCCAAGACCCTGGGACCCTGATTCTACCCAGCTGATTTCCCTGGTCCATGTTGCATGATGAGATTATTCTTAGACCTCCTGGTGGGGAAGAGGGCATTCTAGGCTGGCCCTGCCTCTCACCAACAACCCAGGACAAACCCCTACCCTCCCGGAACACCAGTCCTCCCCACCTCCACCATGGTGTAAGGCTTTGAAATGGCTTTGTAGTCATTAAATAGCTGCCTGGTTGCACAGGCTTGCCATATTCCTGCTGGAGGACATGGATAAAAGAAAACGGAGCCTTACTTGATTGGGAAACATTTTTACTTTCTCAGTTGACCACGGGCACAGTCCCTGCTGCCAGCCTACGCCTGGAGGTCAATGGGAGGAGCTGTGAGCAGCCATTTCTTTTTGTCCCCTGGTGGTGGTGGGCCCTGAACTGGGCAGAGCAGAGCCATCAAATGCTTCAGCCTAGCCCAGTCCTTCCCATGGCACTGGGGTGGATTCCCCACTGTTGGAAGAGTTACGCCAAATTTACCTGAAGCTTAGAGAGTAATAAGCAGAGGCCTTGGCTGATGAGAGGACAGGAAACAGGTCAGGGAGTGGAGATGTGAAGATATAACTCAGTTCCCAAAAAGCAGAATCTGTCTAGAGTCCAAGGAGCCACTGCTGAGGAAGGAGCCAGATGGTTCTGTGACCCCCTGAGGCAAGAAGAAGCTGCGAGGGGATGTCTCAGGAAGTAAGAGTCTCTGGCAGGGTCTGGACCAGAGGCAGGAGCAGGATGAACGATCCCTGGTCCCAGAGTAGCTTCAAGAGGCTAAGGGGGCCTGGAGCACCTTTCCTTCCTTCCATCCTTTTGAGTACCACTGGGTCTTTGGAACAATGGGTGCCCATTATCATGAGCTGTGTTCTTAGGGGGTCCCAAGGCTGGCCCTGCCTCCTTCAGTAGCCAATGACCATTGGATGGGCCAAGTTTCTGGTGGACAATGTTTCCTGTCCCTTCAGGTAACACTCTGAGTCCAAAGAAGCCACCACCAGGAACACATCAGGCTTTCCTCTCTGCCATCACTTGCGGTCAAGTGAGAATGAGATGCATACTAGGACAAGCCCTGAAGAGGACCTGGAGGAAGACCAGTACCTGGCCTTGGGAACACCACCAGCAGGGCTGAGGGTGGGCATTTCCCATTGCAGCATGGTGGGTCACAACAGAAGGTGAGAGGTGGGATGATGGGCTGGTCCCAGGAGAGGGTGGTCAGAGCATCAGGGGTTGCTGGGGTAGAGTGGGACTCATCTTCTGGCCCTCTCATAAGCCATTCTTTGTTTCCTCATGGGGCTTGGGCCCTTAGATGTGTGAGCCCAGATGCAGTAGGCTCATTTCTTATTATCTCAGTGGTCAGCTGCTACCAAGTGCCAAGCGCCAGGCATCCATGGCGGGACAGGTTTGTAAACTTCCATCCCATGGTATTACTGTGATCAATAACTAGGCTGAGCTCCCTGTCCAACAGGAGAAGGTGTGCTCTTTGGGAGGGATGCTTCCATGAGTGTATGGGACCAACACCCCCTCTTAGAGATGACTCTTCAGTATACTTGTATGCCTTTTTTGTCTTCCGGCCCCAGACTTTGCCTTGTACTTATTGTGGGCTGTTCCCACTGCCCACCAGCTGAGGGAAGGGTAGAAGATAGAGCCAGCACTTTGACCGTCTTTAGCTTCCCCTCCCAAGGCCACCTGTGGACTTCTCTTCAACATTTCTTTTGATGTGTCAGACCCAGCCTGGCAACAATAGCATGAGATCTAGGATGAGAAAGTCACCGTGAGAGCAGGGCCAGGACCTCCTCTGACCTCAGCCCTCCAAGGCCAACAGAAGGTGAGAGGTGGGACGATGGACTGGCCCCAGAAGAGGGTGGTGCTGCCCGGGTCCCATCTGGTTCCTGTCCTGAAGGCCAATGCTGGGGAGGTGCTGCTGAAGTGAGGGCCTAGGAAAGGCTGCAGGCTTAGAAAGGTTGCTTTCCACTGGCCTTGGCCCCAACCCTGCTGACATGTGGGTGGGCCTCTTGGGACCCAGGTTTCAGGGCTTTGCCTTTCCCCAAGGCTGCTAGACAAGGTCCTTGTGTGAGTCAGGAAAGGCTGTTTACCTCCTGGTTAGTTAGCAAATACCACTGAGAACCACACCAACATGCCAAGCTGTCAGTGGAGAGAGGCGCCAGAGTGAAAGTGGCCCACAGCTCTGTGAGCCGACCCAGCTCCATATGCCAGGCTAGGCTGGAGGACACAGGGTTCTGTTTGCCAGAAACCAGCAGTCCATCACGGCACCACAATTTGGGGGCACGATCCCAAATCCTTTCTAAGGCACCCACAGTGAGACCTGGTCCTGTCTCTCAAGAACAGTCCAGCAGGGGGCGCAAGACCAACACCTGGCAGGACCGCAAATGACAGTGGTCCATTCCGACTACTTCCCAGGACTCTTTCCAACCCTTACGCTCTCATCTAGTTTTCATTAGGGATGAAGTTGTCACTGTGTTCTGCGTCAAGGTGGTATGTAATCGGATTTCAGGAACACGGCTGGGTTTGGAGGGAAAGGAACCCCGACTCCCCTTTGAGGTCTCCATAGAGATGTTTCTCCCGCTTCCTAGAGAAGCAGCCCAGGGAGGCGGGAGAGGAGGGGCGCGGGGCCGCTGGTGACGCACTTCCGCCTGCGCCACTGCTCTTCCGGCTGCGGCGGGGAACCAAGCGTCCAGGGATTCCCGGCGCCTCTGGGACGGTAGTTGCCGTCCCGAGGTCATCCCCCGGGCCTCACGGTGAGCGGGCGGGGCCCCAGGGAGGGGAAAAGAGCGGCTCCGCTGACAGCCTTTAGGGGCGGCCGGCCGGCCGGGCGCTTATATAGGAAGCCTGCTCCGGCCTCGTTCTCCCCGGGATTGTTGGCGCGTGCGGCCGGGAGCTCCCGGCGGCCACAGCACTGCACTCACCAGGGCCCAGCACCGGTCCCGGCCCAGAGGAGACGCCCGAGAAGATGGTGGAGTGAATGACGAATGAATTATGATTGAGTGATCGATAGATGAGCTAGGACACAGGTTCGGAAACGAAATCCCGGGACCCAGAGTTCTCGGTCTGGATACCAGCTACTTCCCCCAATCTGCCCTGCAGGTCAGAAACTTTTATAGGGACCCTCGTAATAGGGGACGACAAATAGTGCTAAGCGAACTAGGTGGGGAGTCTCGAGACCTGGATTGTAATTCCCTGGGATACAGAGCCTGTTCTTGATCTCTAAAGTTGAACAGTCTAATAATTCCTGCCTTCTTTGCTTTACAAGGCTCAGTTGACAGAATGCATGTGATAGCACGTATGCAAACGTCAATGCCTTCCTTCAAAATTTTACTATCCGTTACTTGCCAATATTACAGTGAATTCAGGGGTGGGGTTACAGAGTGAGTGACGCTGGGGCCTCCCAAACGAGAAGATGCTTCCAGTTAGTGCTTGTGAGCAGATTTTTATGACTACACTACGTTTATTTAGCATTTAACACGTACCAGACATTGTTCGAAGCAGTTTTGCTAATTTATTTAACCTTCCCAACAATATATTATCTGTAGTTTTTAACAAGGAAATTGGGGTACAGAGAGAATAGATAACTTGTCCAAGGACACATTGCTAGACTCAAGGCTGCAGAAGAGATAGATCCAGCATGCAGCTGCAGCCTGGGTGAGTAAGTCACTTTGGCCAACCAACAAATCCAAGAAAGGCTTCAGAGAGGAGTAGATTTCAGTGTGGTCTTATTGAAAAAATTGTTTCAAATTCTTGAAAAACTTCACTGGGCTTGCCCAGAATCCTTTGAGGGGGATCATTGAGGGGCTAAGGAGGTGGCAGTGGGGAGAAAGATTATAAGGTATGCAGAGGAAGCCAGCTGCCTGTTACTTTCAACAGGATGAAGCCATTAAAAGCTTTCCTTTTACCCTTCGCCATAATACCCATCTCACCCCAAATCTGGATTGAGACAGCCTTTTAGCATCTTAAAATCACTAAAAATCAGATAATTCCACACTAGGCATTTTTGGAAACACTTGTACATTCCTTTCTGGTGAACTTACAAATCAGGGAGTCAGCAAATTGTGGCCATTGTTTTTGTACCACCTGTTTTTGTAAAAAACATTATTGAAACAGCTTTTGTTTACATATTGTCTAGTTCTGTTTTCAGACTACAAAGGCAAAGTTGAACAATGACACAGTGAGATCATATAGCCCGTTTAGCCCATGAAGCCTATAATGTTTGCTTTATAGCTCTTTGCAGAAAAAGGTTGCAGTTTGACACAAACTGCAGACAGCTCAGATGATCCACAGTTGGAGGGGACTGGTCGTCACCAAGATGTCTTTTCTTCTCCATAGATTTTAGTGTCAAACATAACAGCGCTTAACACCCTGTTGAGTGCCTATCTTGTGGCAGATTTTCATAAATGCTTTCCTTGGATTAACTCGTTTACTCAGGGATTCACAGAATGTTAGAGCTAGAAGAACTTATGGATATTATCGAATTTGTCACCTTTTTCAGATAACCTGTTATGTAGGCCCATTCATATGGGCTATGACAGAACACAGTTTCCTGACTCCCAATCCAATCCACTTGTATCTTATTTTGAATGGGAGGTCAGTAACCATATCTATTGGGTCTGGCTTTTGTTTTTGTTTCTGTTTTGGGGGGTATTGAAATCCATGAGTGAAATTTGTCATTTTTAAAATAATTTTCTCTGATTATAAAAGTAACGCATGTTTATTGTAGGGAAAGTGAAATATATAGAAGAGTACAAAGGACAAAGTAAAGTAACCTGTTAAAGATCCTAGAGATCAGTGTGTTAACATTTTGATGGGTTTCCTTCTGTCCTTTGTGTGTGTGTTAAATATCTACACATATTAATAATAGTTTCTATTTGAATGCTTACTTAGTGCTGGTATATGTGTGCATATTTTTGTCTTATGTTTTGTTTCCTCTTTTAACATTGTATTTTCTTATGAATATTCTTTGAAAACATTATTTTTAATAGTTTCAAAGTCTGTCACATTGATATGCCATCAGTGTTTATTTGCCTGTTTTGTTCTTTTTTTTACAGGTTTAGTAACAATGTGATCTTTGTACATAAATCTTTGCTCTTCTGTTTGTATTTTTTCACTTTTTTTGTCTGATTACAGAATTTTTTTTTTTACAGGAAAATTTTCAAGCATTACAAAAATACAGGCTTTAGAACAAAAGTTTACAATAATCTTATTCTTCAAGGTGATCATGGTTAACTTTTCATACACACTGTTATGAGATTTAAGACATTTTTGGATGAACATTTGTGATTTTGACATTCCAAACACCAGAAACTCTGTTATTTTTGCAACTCTTTTGTAACTCAAGAATTATTTCACAAAGTGTTTTATTTAATCTGCAGCCTACAGTTATATTGAGCTGTGCCTGAAGAAAAACTGTTTGATATGACATTTAGAGAAAGCACAATCAGTGTATCTCTAGGTTGTATGAAATAGAGAGTTCCCTATCTACTCTCCAGTTACTTGACATATAGGGGAGGTGGGTGGATCAGACTTAATGCAATAGCCTCGCTATGAGGCCATTTTCCCATGTGACTTTTTATTTTGTCAATTGACTTTTCATATAGATTACAGTATAATGGACAGAGTGTAGTAATTGACATGAATATTGCTATCCATTTTGTAGTTCTCTTTATCATTAAAAATAACGTTCTTGATTATTATTATCTATATCATCAAGCAGTTGAGTGTTTGTTAATATGTCAGTTTGTCTGGCTGTCACTTTATACACAGCTGACAAGTGGAGTTTGTGAACCTAGAAGGCTGAAAGCCAACCCTGATTCTTGCTGATGTAGTCACATTGCCGTTTTGACAGGGTCTCTGTGAATTATTAGATAGTATCCCTAGGCAACAGCTCTTTCTCATTTTTCTGTTTACTGGGACAATGATATCCCCTCCCCTACCTTCCCCCCCCCCCTGCCGTGAGCACAACTCCCAGTTTTCCAACCTTGAGGTATTTTTACAGTTAAAGCAAAGAGAAGATTTGTGGATGTTGAATATGCAAAGAGCTGAAGAGAGAGAGATTGGAAAAGAGATTTGTCCAGGTGAGTGATTAAGGGACAACCAGTGGGAAAAATGGCAGGGCTTTGGAAATTTCATGAGAGAAACTGAATGAAGCTCAGGAGATAAAATTACCCTTCGTTTTAGGGATGTTGGGGCAGATGTGGGTGAGCAGCTCCTGGGGCCAACTTTTCCCCAGGACTCATTTTATCTCTCACCTCCAGCATTTGCCCTTGAACATTCTTCCACTATCCTCCATTCTTTGAATATAAACCATCATGTTTCCTGTCTTGCCCTAATCATTAGCCTGTTGTTTCCCCTTATCTCCATTGTCTCTTGGTGTCTGTAGTTGCCCTTTCTTAGGGTTTCTCATTCATGGTGATCACCTTATCCTGATGGAAATCTATTTCACCACTTGCAACTTTGAATTACTTGTCCCACTTGCTTTTATTGGTCCTTACTGAGACCTGTCAAAGTTAGGTCCCAGAACGTCAGGGGCCCCTACTCTGCCCTGAACAAGAGATATTCATTCTGATGGTTTCTTTCAGGTTGGGTGAACAAGCCTGTTCCAGAGCAGGATGCCTCTGAACTTGATTCACCAGGGATGGTAGAGAAGAGATTCCAGGAGGATGAATCCCAGGATTCTACATATGAAGAAAAATGTGCATGTCAGAGCATGGAGGAAAACTCTCCGGGAGAGGTTCCTGGGCCATGCTTTTTTGAGAAAGGAGTTTTTGGGGGAATAACTTTCATCCACAAGGAAGCACCTCCTGAAATGATTAGCCAAGAATATAATTTTGAGAAAAGGTTGCTTCTGACTTCAAGCCTCGTTACACATCTCAGGGTTTCTACAGAAGAGAGCCTACATCAGTGGGAGACAAGTAGCATACACACCAATGAGATTTCAGACCAAAGTAAATGCCCCGCCCTCTCCACACGGAAAAAGTCTTGGAAATGTAATGAATGTGGAAAAACATTTACTCAGAGCTCATCCCTTATCCAACATCAGAGAACTCATACTGGAGAGAGACCATATACATGTGAGGAATGTGGGAAAACCTTCAGTCGTAGTTCATTCCTTGTTCAACATCAAAGAATTCACACTGGAGTGAAACCATATGGATGTGAGCAATGTGAGAAAACATTTCGATGTCGATCCTTTCTTACACAGCATCAGAGAACCCACACTGGAGACAAACCTTATAAATGTATTGAGTGTGGGAATTCCTTCCGCAATCATTCACATCTCACCGAACATCAGAGAATTCACACTGGAGAGAAACCTTATAAATGTAATAGGTGTGGGAAGGCATTCAATCAGAATACACACCTCATTCATCATCAGAGAATTCACACTGGTGAGAAACCTTATTTATGCAATGAATGTGGCTCTTCTTTTCGCAAGCACTCAAACCTTACACAACATCAGAGAATTCACACGGGGGAAAAGCCGCATAAATGTGATGAATGTGGGAAAACTTTCCAAACAAAGGCAAACCTCTCTCAGCATCAGAGAATTCATACTGGAGAGAAACCCTATAAATGTAAGGAATGTGGCAAAGCGTTTTGTCAGAGCCCATCCCTTATTAAACATTTGCGGATTCATACTGGAGAGAAACCCTATAAATGTAAGGAATGTGGCAAAGCTTTTACTCAGAGTACCCCACTCACTAAACATCAGAGAATTCATACAGGGGAGAGACCCTATAAATGCAGTGAATGTGGTAAAGCCTTCATTCAGAGTATTTGCCTTGTTCGGCATCAGAGAAGTCACACTGGAGAAAAACCCTATAAATGCAATGAATGTGGGAAGGGCTTCAATCAGAATACCTGCCTCACTCAGCATATGAGAATTCATACTGGAGAGAAGCCCTATAAATGCAAAGTGTGTGGGAAAGCCTTTGCACATAGCTCCTCTCTCACTGAGCATCACAGAACTCACACTGGTGAGAAGCTCTATAAATGTAGCGAGTGTGAAAAAACCTTCCGCAAGTACGCACACCTTAGTGAGCATTACAGGATTCACACTGGAGAGAGACCTTATGAATGTGTCGAATGTGGAAAGTTCTTCAGACATAGTTCAGTTCTTTTCAGACATCAGAAACTTCACAGTGGTGAATGAACCTGGAGTCAGGTGTGACAGTTTCTCTGGAAACAGTGGCTAGGAACCTGGCTGGGGGTAGAGGGTTAGGTAGAGCTCCTGGAGTGAAGGATGAAGGAGCCTTGGCTACTGCACTCAAGAGTATTTCCAGAAGTGTCGGTGGGGGCTTGGAGAATGCAAAGCCCACTCCAGGTGGGCACCTGGGAGTACAGGGTAGAAAAGGAGTTTTGCTTTTCAGATAAAGTCTTGCTGCTTGCCACTCCTCTCTCTCCGTGTGACTCTCATACCGTGAGGTGCATTTTTTAAGTTAGTGCTTATGTTTCCTTCACTAGACCCCTGCTCCACCTTCCCAACTTGTCATGTGTGTTCACTGACCAGTAGGCTGAGGTGCTTTTGCAAATACTTGGTCATTGTGAAAGTGGCAGCAGTTCTGAGTTAGTGCTGAGTAGCCTCCAGATGTCTCAGTCAACTCTAACCATGCTGCTGTGGGGAAGGCTGCTTAACCTGTAGAAGTGGTCCCGTGGCAGGGAGACAGAAACAAGGGAAAGACAGTCCATATTCAACAAATAAGGGGATATGTGGCAAGAACTGGGCTGATTGCTACAGACAGGTTGGTAAAGAAGGCTTTTACTAGGGTGAGGGAGATTTTCCTGAGCCTTTCAAAAAGCTGGAGGATGACGGGGCTAAGAAGGAAATAGATCAGTGGAGACTTGATTGATGTCAGTTTGTGGGAAGGGATATTTGCTCAGAGGGCCACGGAGAGAAAGGCCCAGCCTTTGTCTCAGAGGAATACTGGCTTACCCAGGAAGGACATGGTCTGTGCTAGGCTGCTGGTAATAAAAACTAAGAGGCCACCGAGCAGGAATCATGCATATGACTGAGCAAGCCACCAACATATCTCTGCAATGGAGTGAGGTGTACAGCTGTCTCGTGTTACTTTGGCTGGATTACTGGTTCACAAGGACCAAGGGAGAGGGACCCACGAAGATTAACAGTATTGAATAAAGTGGAACTCCGTTGGCCTTTAGGGAGGGGAAAACATTAGTGATGAAGGAAAACAGCCTTTTAGGTTGGTTATAGTTGGGGCCTGCTGGACCAGTTCTTAAGAGCGTGTTGATCACTGTAGCAGGGAGGACTAGGTTTCATGTAATTGTGCCGTTGGTGCTATAACCATAGATTCATTAGATCTCAGATGTTTCTGTTTCTTCTTGGCTTTATCTTATTCCTGGATATTTAACCTTCCCTGCAGGTTAGGGGTGTGTAGGGAAATACTTCTCATGGGATGAATTTGGAAAGAGTTCTATAGAGGATTACTTTTTTTTTAAATCCCTGAAAATCACGATGTCATGGGTTGCTACTGACTTTGATGGTATTTTATTCTTTTGAAAGAAAGGGCATGTTTTTTCCTCTATTTCCCCAATCCTTTTCATGTTCTTAACTGCTACCCAGAGATTCAACTCTTGAAGATTAAGTGAGGACAACCTTTGGTATTTGAAATCGTTCCTATGCTCTGAAGCTTATACAGTTTAAAAAAATATCATTATTAAAAACAAAAGTAAATCAATTCTGGAATGGTTATTTGGAACTCAGCATTGAATTTTTTTCCAGAGCAACTATAGTGCTTTCAGCCATTAATTACCGTTAATGGGAATGTAGCGGAAATATCACATACACTTGTCCTCCAGCTGTGGCACAGAGCAATTTATAATTGAATAAATTAATATGGGCAAAAATAGCCCAATGAAAAGTTTATATTTTGTACTCATAAAAATATACACGAGTATAGTCTACTGAAAGCAAATGTCAATGTATTTATACTTTGCAAATGAAAAATAACACTATAGAATTCATTGCTGGCACATAGTAAATGTTCAGTAAATATTTATTTGTTGAATTAATATATTCTAATCAAGCTTTGCCCTCCAGAAACTTCAAGAACTTCCTGATATGTAGGTATTTAGCATAATATTTATACATTGCTATCTTTGGAGTCTGGAGTGCAGGTAAAGAGGATATGGAGAGTTTTCTTGAGGAAGAAATGGTAAAACCTTAAGGGTGAAAGATGAAGTTTTTGTTAGAAATAGTTTCTGAAATGGAATGGGCACAACTCTTGAGTTTGTAATTCTCAGGCTAAGAGTGTGGTACCATTTTCACTTCCTAGGGAAACAAGAAGGAAAAGGACTCATCACCTTTCCACTGCCCTCATCCTGTATGCTCACATTTGCAAATATTTGTTCCTAATTTTCTCTCAGTTGCCAACCTGCTATGTAGGTCACTCCAGATTGGCCCCAAGAGGAATTGCCCTCTTCCTCAATCTTCCTTCTTAGTCTTCATATCACATCAACCATTATATCCTGTGACATTATCTCCTAAATCTGGAAGCCATCTTTACTTACATTGCTTTACTCCAATTCACCAATTTATTTCCTTGAGAATTTTCATATTTTCCTAACCAGTCTTCAACTTTCTTGCCCCACTAGGCCATCTTTCCCATTTCTTCTGGATGTCTTTGCAAGACAACTGTGGCAGCTCTAGTGTTCTCTCGCAGAATAAAGTCCTGGCCCCTTAAAGAGGCTTCAGAGGCCCCTCATCTGGCCTGTGCCTACATCCTCATTCTCAGCTGCCATTCCTGCCTTGCACATTCTGTTCCATGGCACAAAATCCTATGATTCTAAACCTCTGGACTCTACTTTGGCACCTCAGTACAAACTACCTGTTGCCTCAATAACCTTCCCTGCTTCTGCTGGCCCGGAAAGCTCCCATTGGTCACTTATAAATGAGCTCAGGCGGCATCACCTTAAAGATGTCTCTGACCTCACCTATTTTTAATTATTTCTGTATTTTGTATCTTCATCATTTTATTTCATGTTACATACATTGTAATGACTTGTTTACCAGTCTTTCTGTTCCCAGGAACTGTCAGCTCCATGAGGGCACGGGTCATGTGCCATTTATTCATCTTTGTATCCATAGTCTAGCACTTACTAGTTGCTCAATAAATATTTGTTGAGCTCAACTACGATACTGAGTCAGACATTTCTCCATGCCAACTTGTGACTTTGGTATAGTTACCAGCAGAAAGGAGGTATAGTGAGTACATGAGTGTGTCACCAAGTGTTTGCAAGGAGCAAGAATTCTGAATCTCTCCCCAAGATACAGAGTGTGTGGTTGTATTAAGCAGAGGATCCCACAAGAAGAAATAGTTTGTAGCAAAAAAAAAAATTTGTTAAAATTAGGCATTTAAATGTCGCACCACAGTTGAACAAACTGCTTTCGGATAGGTTGATGTCAGGGTCAGCAGGAAGAGGGAAATGCATGCAGCTGTCGAAGTATAGCTCTGTCAACGGAATAATATCCATGAACTAAGCATGTGCTGGACAGTGATGCTGACCAGGCAGGAGAGCAGTTGAGCTTGGAATTCCCAACATGGAAGTACTGAGCTCATGGCTTTCCTAAGGCTCTGGAGTGATCAAGAACTGGAATATGTGGCTTACTCAGAGTGTGCTGAAATTTAGTGACTTCAGAAGGACCCAAGGGATGAGGCCACATTTAATTCTCAAAACAACAAAAGGGAAACCAGGTGGTTGGAATTGCCAAGGTCACATAGCTAGCTAGTAAGCGTTAAGTGAAATTGAAACTCGTGTTCTCTTGCACTTTTCCTTCAGATTTCTCTCTTGGTTGTACATCTGCTACATGATGCCTTGTTAATTGTGTCTTTTATGACACAAGTATATTGACCACTTAAGACTCCAACCTTGCCCTACTCCTAAGGATGGGAGGAGCTCACTTTAGATGAAGCTTTTTGGCTCTGAGAATCAGACCTTCCTGCATGTTAAGTGAAGGTGAGAAATAAGTTGATTTTGCATTTTGATCTCATCATTGCTCCTACATAATGCAGAAATCTAGCCTTTATCCCAGGTGGTTTGTTTTACTCCCCTTCAGCTACTGGTCACAGTAGGGCTAAGGTCATTTTAGTTTTGTGGGATGGTTTTAGTGTCCATCCCTCCCATCCATTTTCCACCTTTCAGTGAAAGGGGCTCAGCCCAAATTGCTGTTAAGAATGATTTCTGTTTCTAGTAACCTGTTCTGCCTAAGGTACCCCCCCTCCAGGGTTAGTTTCCACGTAGCAGAACCTGTTGATTTAGAGATTCTTTGAAGCCCAACGGAAAAAAAATTGACTAGGTCTAGGCTCTCTGGCCTGTGGGATGTTAGGGCTGGGGTTAGAACTTGCTGATTCCAAAGTAGTGCTGAGAATGTGACACTGGTGAAAAAAGGCAAGCTCAACATTGTTCCCTGGCATGTCAGCTGACAATTCTTTCCTTTTTTTAACCAGAAGGTTAGTGATGGTTTCAGTCTGTGGCATCTGCACACCTGATTTCAGCTCCTAAATTAGGGACTCCATTTTGGGAAATCAGCCCATCTGGAAACTTGAGCAGGTAACTTCTCTGCTGCATCTCATTCATTTATTCAAGTGTTGACTCAGTGTGTGCTGCTGCACACGGGAAGTGATGCTAAGCAGACAGCCCTATCTTCCTGAGCTGCCCATGGGTAGGAATGCTTGGAAGCGGATCAGGTGCCCTGCTGCCTATGCCTTTATTCCTGGGATACATCTGTCAGGATTAGCTCTTATGTGCAAATATTCCTGAATGAGGACCAGCAAGATCTGAAGTTTTGCAAAACGGGGACAGGGGCACTAACTTGAGAGCTGGAAAGGTCACAGAAGCCAGTGCAGAACAATGAGGACCTATGAACACTATAGGACCAACATTACCAAAACCAAACAGTTTTTAAGCACCAGAAGTTCTTGGTAACTTACATGAATTAAGTTCATTTATTCCTCACAAGAACCCTATGGACTTTAGTACCATTACTATCTCTGTTTTGTAAGTGAGGAAACACGCAGAGAGGTAAAGTAACTTGCCCAAGTTCACACACAGAATCTGGGGCTTTAGCCCAAAGCAGAGCTTTTGTTCTTTTGGCCAATTCTGAACAAGGTTCTGAACAAAGGTTCTGAAGCAGTAGGGTGGCTGGGG